TTGTATGTTCCCACCCATCTGGAATGAGCCTTGATGTTGAGAGCGATGCCTGCTTGAAGCATTAACATCAGAAAATGACTCGACATTAATCAACGAAGCATCTACCAAACTATGAGAACTGGATGACGTGGAGCACAGTGGATCCTTTCTACCTACTGCATATCTAGATGTGTATAAGAGACAGGTGTGTGTGTGTACCAAATACTGGCCTGTGCAAAGGTTGCGCCTCGATGCCTCTCTCTCTCTCTCTCTCTCTCTCTCTCTCTCTCTCTCTCTCTCTCTCTCTCTCTCTCTTACTCACTCACTCACTCCTAACCTCACGCCCAGCACTGAAGACTACCGCTAACAATGCCCAGCCCGTAGACTACTAACTCTCTTCAATACTACCTCCTGACTGAAGGGCGAACCAGCTATATATAGCGCTGGTACGGCCCAAGTCCTGCTCAGACTGGCACCTAAACTGCCGCCCACACTAATGCGAAACTCGGCCGCTCAAACAAACAGACTCAACAGAGGCCTGGCGCCAAAACGAAAAGAGCGCCAGGTCCTGGCCTAGCCTGCTATCGCCTAACTGGGCCCTAACAAAAACGGTACCAGCCTAACCTTGCCTGCTAACCCTGCATGGCCTAGTACGGCCGAAACGGCGCTGGTCCCTAACCTAGGCCCTAGAAACCCTACTAACCCCTAACCCTACCCCCGGGCCCTATGGGGGCCCGTCCGTGTGGGACCCGTGGAATGCCAACCCCCCCCCCCCCCTCCTTGAAAGATTGAGCCTACCTGCAAGGGTGAAGCTGTCTATCGGAGGGAGGGACCGAAAATCCGGGTGGGACGGGCAGGTTGTGAGGCCACCTTTGCTAGTCATCACTTCGCATAGTCGGCATAGATCAGCAATGCGGATGCTTGCAAGTCTACTCGTGAAACACATTGTGTGTCGTCGCGGTCGCGTTGCTTGAAAGTAACCTTGTACTACGTTGGCTTGTTGCCATACTTGTGATGCGTGACAACCCGATTTCTTGGTGACCATCCATGGAAGGAGGGTCCTGCGATTGCCACGCCGGGAAATCATCGCTCTTGGCTGCTGTGTAAGTAGCCAACCTAGAGGCGTGGAAGACCGGGTGGACCGACAGATGCGACGGGATATCGATCACAACCGATGGGC